AAGGAACTTCGTCTTAAATCTCAATATGTCCACAACAAGGAGGTCAAGGCAGCTCTCGGTGTCAAGATCTCTGCACCCGGTCTCGAAGGCGCTATTGCAGGTTCGAGATTGATGGTTGTTGGTCCTGACGATGACGAGTCGGATGTCGAGGCTGAGGTTGAGTCCGATCTTGGTGCACTCTTTAGTCGAGTTGAGAAATCTGGACGTGGTGTCACCGTTCAAGCATCTACTCTTGGATCTTTGGAAGCTCTTTTAGATTTCTTGAAGGTATCCAAGATTCCTGTTGCCAACGTCGGTATTGGTCCAGTTTTCAGGAGAGATGTAATGAATTGTGGTACTATGCTTGAGAAGCAAAAGGAATACGCGGTCATGTTATGTTTCGATGTTAAGATTGATAAGGAGGCACAACAATACGCCGATGATCAAGGCATCAAGATCTTTACTGCAGATATTATCTATCATCTTTTCGATTCCTTCACCAAGCATATGCAGGTTATTGCTGAGGCAAAGAAGGAAGCCTCTAAGCTTTTGGCCGTCTTCCCTTGCGTTCTTAAACCAGTAGCTGTCTTTAACAAAACCGGCCCTATTGTTATCGGTGTCGATGTTGTTGAAGGAAATCTCAGGTTGCACACCCCTATAGCCGCTGTTAAACATAACTCGGTCACTGGTAGCAAGGAGATCGTGGGTATTGGAAGAGTCACATCCATTGAACGTGATCACAAGCAACTTGAAAAGTGCAAGAGAGGAGAACCTTCCGTTGCTATCAAAATCGAAATGGGCAGTTCACAACCGACATATGGTAGACACTTGGAGGAATCTGATACATTGTACTCATTGATTAGCAGAAAGAGTATCGATACCTTGAAGGAGTTCTACAGAGATGAAGTCAAGAAAGATGAGTGGGCGCTGATCCTGAAGTTGAAGCCACTTTTCGATATCTCTTGAGTGGATTAATGGTAGATGGTGAAAAGGATATTTGTGTGTATTATACATGAGCCATTTAAACTTTGCCCCTCAATGTACATGCTTTACTTAAAAGTCAAATGATTATACCCCTGTTTTGTTCATTTTGCAATAGTGATACATCTACGAGATACCATACATGTTTCTTGGAATCGAGGAGCAGTGAGTTTGTTAATAGTGCAGAGGAGGAGACGAGATATAGTATGGTGTGGATGTATATGCTGCTCAGTTCCGGACATTGGATGACAACCTTCTTGATATGTAATTCGTAGAACTTTGGTTATTTGTAGTTGAGAGCATCTGAACTTTTGCGTGCTCTAGAACATGGGGAGCTCTCGTGCCCACATTTAAAACGCTAGCAAGGTATAAATATATTAAGCCAGTCCGAGAACCATAGTCTTACCGCCTTATGGCAGAATTTAATTTTTGGTCAAGTTTTTAGACTGAGCTCTTCAAATTTTACAATTTCTGCAACTATCAAGCTATAATTCGAGATGGGTAGCAAAAGGAAGCGTTCAGCGCAAGATGCTGCAGTTGCAGCTCCTGCTGCCAAAAAGCAACAAAAAACCTCCAAGCCAGCGACCAAGAAGCCCGTGGAAACTCCCGCTCCTCTCGATACATCACCATTTGTCAACAACCCAAGAGGGGACGATTTGAAGCGTGAAGTCAATCTTTACGATATGCTTAGTAGTGAGGATGATTCGCAACGACTTGATGCCGCCAATGCGATTGTGTCCGGATTGTTAGGTGGAGATGGAGTAGAAGAATCAACATTACAAAAGCACTTGGAGAGAAGATTGTTTCGGGGACTTGCAAGTGGCAGAAAGGGTGCGCGATTGGGCTTCAGCATTGTACTTTCGGAGCTCTTGGCCCAACTTTTCGGTTCGGCGAATTTAAGTGCGACAAAATATCCTGGATTGACCTTCGATAACGTCTTCGAATTTTTGATCCTCAAAACGAAACCCGAGGGCGATCTTAGTGGACAGGAACAGAAAGATCATGCTCTTGGATTGTTGTTTGGACTGCAATGCTTTGTCAGGTCTAAGATACTCTTTTCGATCGATGGAAAATGGGAATTGATTCTGGACAAGCTATTGGATTTATCCAGCAAAAAGTCCTGGACTCGGGAGGAATGCGGTTGGGTTATTATGGAAGCTTTGGAGCAGATGAACCAAGACCATGCGGAATCTACCTTGAAGAAATTGTGCGATGTTGGATTAGGACTCTCACCAGAAGGTGTTGGTATCTGGCTTAGAGCAAGGGACAAGTTTCCAAAAATGAAGTTTCCAAGCAACCCTTGGGGACAGAGTGGTAACCCATTGGAGCACCTCAACTCCCTTGCAAAAGCCCTCAAGGAGAGTTCTTCCAGCGAGGACACTTCGAGCAAAGGACAACAAGCCAAGCAAACTGGAACATGGAATGCGAAGTTACATTTTGTTTGGGACATTGTCTTGAGTCAATATGTTAAAGCAGCTAATAGCAAGGCCAAGAACATTATGTCTGAATTCGACAAATTTTGGAAGGTTACTGTTGATGGTACGTTATTTACATTCAATTTTTTGACCCATTATTGACTATTCCTTAGAAAACCTGTTTTCTGCATCTGCATCAAGAGAGCGTAAATTTTGGGGCTTCTTGGTCTTTCAACGAATGATTCAAAGCCATATTTCGTGTACAACACTCATCACTAGTATTTTCAGTCACAACCTCGTGCGCTGCCTTATCAATCACGTTCAGGAAAAAGATCGCTTCCTAAACCGGGCTGCCGACAAGTCGCTAAAGGTTCTTACACACGCAGTGGAAGAGAATCCTGAAGCATTGGTTGTTGTCCTTCAAGGATTGATTGACGGCAACGGTGCATACAGTTTTGACCGGGTCACAAAGACAAAAACAATAGAAAAATTGCTGAGTATGGTTGATGACACAAATGGTGAAGCCGTTCTCGATGTTCTCACCTCTCCTGTTATGGTCGTACCAAGCTCGGAAACCAATGACGCCGAAAAACGTCGACAAATGTTTGGAGACTATGTTTTAACCGCAATTCGACATGTTGATATCACAGAAGCATCACAAAACTCAAGTTGGATCAAAACCGCTGCGTTACCTCAGCTTGCCTCATTAGCATACTCGAATAATTCAGAAGCCAAACCTCCCATTTCTGAAGGAACCCGAACGTTAATCAGAAACCGATTGACATCGGCATTTACTCATCTATTATCTAATATGGATGGTTATCATTACACCTGCGATTTAGTTATTTCCTGCACACCTGATGCAGTCGCCATGGACGGGCTTATCACTGGTGCTAAAGATGCTGCATTCAGTACATTGCAGAAACTCATGAAGAAAGCAAAGAAAGGAGGAAAGGATAAGGCAACTTTCCAAACCCTGTCATTGTTATATGCTTTAGTAATCTTTCAGTTGTACAACGGAGATGTTGAAGCTGTGTCCATTCTGGATGAATTGAAGTTATGTTACGACAACTTGATCAAACACAAATCAACAGAGGATTCGGAAGTTGAGCCTTTCGAGGTTCTCGTGGAGCTCTTACTGTCTTTCCTTTCTAGACCATCCGCTCTTCTCCGAAAAGTCACTCAACATGTCTTTACGGCTTTCATGAGTGAGATGACTGAAGGTGGATTAAAACTCATGACAGACGTGCTGGAAACTAGCGAAAACATGAGAGGACAGCAGGAAATGTTTGACGAGAACCCAGATGATGAAGATGCGATGGACGTTGATGAAGAAGATGATGAAATGGACTCGGATGTCGAAGTTGTTGACATGAACGGCGAGGAGGGTCACTTAAATGCACATCTTGCAGAGGAAGAGGAAGAGAGCGACGAGGAAGAGAATGAAGAAGAATCAGAAGACGATGAAGATGAGGGAGACGACGAGGCTAACAAAGAGCTCAACGACGCTCTAGCAAAGATTCTCGGCACCTCAGCATTAGACCAAAATGACGAAGACGAGGATGGCGATAGCGACTCCGATATGACCGATTCAGGGATGGATGCTCTAACACCAAAATTAGAGGAGGTTCTCGGAAGAATGAAAAAGAAGGGGCCTAGTAAGAAACAAGAACAAAAGGACGCCAAGGAAAATATGGTCAACTTCAAAAGCAGAGTTTTGGATCTTCTTGATATATATGCCAAGAAGCAAGCGTCTGATCCCTTGGCCGCTGAAATTCTATTACCTTTGTTACGACTGATCCGTACTACCAAAGCCAAACACTTGAGTGACAAGGCATTCTCAATAATTCAAGCTTTCGCAAAGTCCAAATCGAAGGCATCGTCTTCGGAAGCCGAGGTAGAGGTCAATTTCAAGGCACAAATCGCCTTGATCAAGGGTATCCACGAAGAAGTACTCAAGGACCAGTCTAAGGTCTTCGCCAAAGCTGCCAGTACAGCTAGTTTATCTTTGGCCTCTGGTATATATAGAGCGGATAAGAGTCAATTCGAGAAGATTGGAAAGGTTTACCTGCACACGATGACAAAGTGCGATGTCGAAGGTGTGAAGATTCAGGCTAGTTTTGTAAGTGATTGGGTTAATTGGTGGCAAAGTCATATTGCTCAAGCTGCGGCAGGAGGTGCTGTGAAGGAGGAGTAGAGGTAGAATAGGGAGTCTGAGTGTACATGTAAAGATACCAATAAACCAAAAGTTTTAGAAGTTATGAAATGAGATACAAGGGCTGTTGCTTGAGTTTTCAAGTGGGAAGTCCTTCCCGGTGAGCATAAAGTTTGGTTCCTTTGGGGCTTTTCATTCACTTGCACTAATACCAAGGCTTAGTGTAAAATACAGTCAAGTAAACGTTTGTTTCTATAAAACTTTAAGATGAAGCTGTATTTTCGTCGAAGCGTAAGCGTTATCCTGATAGAAGACAAGGTGCGTCCAAAATATTGTGGAGCTTATTAAGCACCAATTAGATATCCGTTGCTTATATCATGGAGTCCGAGGTCCACTAGTCCTGGAGCAAATAAAAGAATCCTAGACACTACAGAACCATACACCCAATTTCATATCATCTGTCCAAACCATCTTCATTCAAAAGTGCGCCGCAATCAGGCTTTATCGTCCATCTTGATTCATATTCTCTATTGACTAACATCTCATCAATTCCCACAAAAGCTGAGAATCTATTCAATACATCTCGGAGACTTTCGAAAGCATGGCCAGCGGCAACCTGGAAATACCTGGTCTCTCCGAATCCTTCGAAGGAGATGAAACCACAACCATTTGTGAGCTTTGCAACAGCATACTCTTCCACAACACAGAGATTGGAAGTGAAATCGAGGATATGCTAGGGTTAAAGCTATCCGAAGAAGAAACACCTACTATGTTGTTGATCTTGAACGGCGCACATGGAGGCTGTCGCTTCTGCGCCGTGGTATGGAGAGCATTTAGGGATGAGGGAAGTTATCGGAATTTCTATTCAAACAATAATACTAATTCGTTGTCCTTGACTGATATTGCAAAACGTTTCATCATAAGCTCTTTGTCTCTTGAACTTGAGGAGGGGATTTCTGTGGGCTATTACAAGCTGTCCTACAAAACAACCTATGAGAAGCCAAAATGGAAGGGCGGTGGCGTTTTGGTGCTAGTTTTAGACACATTAAACGGTAAAGCACTTTTCATAGTGTCCAATCCCTGAGTTACAGCTCAAGGGTAGACATGGAGAGTTGAAGCATATCTGCTGAAATCTCAATACAGGTTATCAAGACTTCCATAAAGCGTCACAGTCTCTTACAAACACCAATCATCTTTCTGAAGAGAGATGGAGGAACTTCTGTTATTCATCAATAAGAAGGTGCCAAGAAACTCACGAATTATGCAACTCCGCGTCAATATCTGAGAAGACTTCGCATTGCTTGCCTACACGTCTCATTGATGTCAAATGCGATCCTCCAAGTGTAATCTTGTCGTCCAACGTAGAACCTGCAAGTTCATACGCGACTTTAAGTCACTGCTGGGGCAAAGCACCGATCCTTACTTTGACGACGAAAAATCTGGAAGCTTTTCAACAAGGGTTGCCCATTTCTCATTTAAGTAGAACTTTCCAGGATGCCATCGATGTAGGAAAAAGACTTTTACGAGACTTTAATGTAAGATATCTTTGGATTGACAGTCTTTGCATCATCCAGGATTCCAAACCAGATTGGGAGAATGAAGCACCAAAAATGTCCCAAGTCTATGGGAATGCCTTTTGCTGCATCGCAGCCTCTGCTGCGACCGATGGATCAAAGGGCCTTTTCTCTCCAAGGAACTCTCTAGTGGATGACGTACTATGTATAAATCTTGATAGAGCAAAATATCCGCGTCTGCAGAACCCAGTAAGAATAACAATTCTCAACAAGGACAAGTGGCTTCAGATCATTCGAGAGGCACCCCTAAACCAGCGCGGTTGGGTTGTGCAAGAGAGGGCTCTAACCAAAAGAACATTACAGTTTTTTGATGGGGAAGTAATGTGGAAATGTCAACAAATAATGGCATCAGAGTCATTTCCTGTCATATCATCTTGTTTAAAGATATCCGATGATCATCTTCTATTTCCCCATTCTCTTACCGCAAACTTCGCTTTCCGAAGATTCTGGAGTCAACTCTTACATATTTATAGCAAGACTATTCTTTCGTATCCAGACGATATACTTATGGCAATGGCTGGTGTGGCACGTCAATTTGGGGAATACTTACCGACCAAAAACAAGATATATCTCGCCGGAATGTGGCAATTCGAGCTTGAGAGGCAATTGGGATGGTTAGCAACCATTCCTGGCTCTAGACATGATCTTGATCGTCGAGAATGCCCGAGCTCTAACGTCGCACCATCTTGGAGTGTGAGTGCAATTCATTCCTTCATATCATAGCTTCTGATACTAGTTTCTTTTCTCCTGATTCATTCTTCGTTTTCTCCTTGTAAAAACTTCACCAACATATTCATCCTTTGCAAGTATTTCCATGATAGGCAATTGCTGACGATCCTATGGTCTAGTGGGCCTCATCAACAGGCAGGTCAATCACAAATGCATGGGATAACGGTCAATATAATAAGGCTTCTACGCGCTGGTATGACTGGACTCCAGCAGAATACAAACATTACATGACTTTGGATTTAAATCGGACCCAGCCTCCTGAATTTGCCATCCTTGATGTCGGAACCACTATTTCTAGCAAAGACCCATTTGGATCCGTCACTTCGGGATTTCTTCGACTTCGTGGTCAATTGAAGGTTGGGCGTCACTCTTTTACATTGTCTAAACAGAATGCAGCGACCTGGAATAACAACAACGTTCACTACATCCAGGTGCTCGGTAGATCTCATCCGCTATTTTCTCCCATGGTTTTTGATCGTTTGCAGTCTGATGACGACCTGAGGGAGATTAGAGAAGGGATGTTGTTCGTTTTCCCCCTAAATTTCGAGACTAGTCGGAGCTCTCGTGCTCTCATTCTAAAGCCAAGCTGTACTCGGAAAAGTTTGGTGAGGGTGGGCTGTCTATTGAACCTTGCAAAGAATGTCGCCTTTGATGCGGAGAGTGATAAACTGATCGGGGAAGAGTTCTATGAGGAATCTCATGGGAATGGAGAATATACTATTCGTATCATATGACGGTTACTTTAAGAAAAGTTACTCCTCTTCAAAGACCATGAACTATGCAAGGCCTGGTGGACTAGCATCAGCCTTCTAGCTGTATTAGCAGATGCCAATAATTATGATGGAAGGAACTCTTAACAAATAATCATATGAGCTAAATCAGTGAGCACACTGAAGCTCAATCTGATACTACTCGCATATTTGAGGGAATTCTCAACTCATATGGCAAATATGAAGTCATAGAACATTACTCCTCATACAATTGACACCGTCATCAGAATGAGATTCATGAAAGGTACAAAGGGCGAGTGGGATCAATGTAACAATTTAAACCCAGTATACCTAAATCGAACGTGATTGTATCACTCGAGGTACAGGTCCATCTGATTTTAGTATCATCGAGCACGTTGTTCGTCTACTCAATATAGAAGGAGATGAACTACTACCATTCTTGGCAACACCATCCAGTTCTACAATATGGGTTCTAGGGCTTGGAGAAAGTATAGAATCCCAGCCCGCCCATTAAAATCCCTATTCATAGAAGGAACCCAGTCGTCACCGAGCTATAAGATGACACATAGAGATTCGCTTCAAGACATGAGTATGAATGGGTACTGGTAGTATGGTAATCAATCTTAAAATGCCAGCCATCTGTAGTGTGTATGAAATAAGCAGGACCGAAAACGCAACTGGCCATGCCTCGATATGAATCACTGCGATGTATTCAATAGGAATAAATAAGAGCAAATTTAACATGAGCTTTGAGGCCTTTATTAGCTATAGCTTATTACCATCTGAACTAGCTGGAGCATACAGATACCGGTACGAGTGGCTCTAATCAAGACAAGTAATGCAGTCTAGTTTTAGATATCCTGTCAACTCTCGGCTGCTTGATTGAGCGGGAATCATTGATCAAAACTATTTTATGGATCATATTTCCGTTTCGGTTTCTGGAGTCTGGCAACATTATCACCATAGACAGTTGGTAAAGACTCGTCCGCAAAAACGAAATTGATATATCTGGAAAGCAGTGAGCCTAATCACACTAGTATAAGAACTTTGTAAGACAACTAACGTGCTATTCTGTTTTAGGCCATCAGTTAATCGCCAAAGATCTCCGACCTTCGTGTCAAATGCCTCGTCTTCCTCTCGTCGAATTTAGACAGGGTATTACAGCAGGTACCAACAAGTGACCGCGCATCAGGAGGAGAAAGAAGAGCCTGGTATTCGACGAACAGAAGAGGTTGTAGTGACGCGAGATACTTTGTGAGCTTGATATGAACGACTAATACTGCTCATTACGGTATCAAAGTGCAAGCTTTGGTTTGGCCTGGTAGCTGACGTTAAGAAACAGTCAGACCATCCTCTTTTGTATAGATTGGTGGACGTATCATTCTTCACGATTAAGGACTCCTAGCAGAAATTGACTGCAGATGGTTGTTAGATATTCTGACTTTGTATGCCTAGCGAATCTCAATATACTGCTCAAAGATTCGCGGCAGTAGTTGTACGGGACTGATCGAATACTATATGATTTAAATTTGCGATAATCTTTTAAATTCAAATTTAAATATCTTTAAGTATAATAATATAATTCATTATAGAAAAACTAAAATTTTATATATATAAGTTTTTTAAATAAGTTTTTTTAATAAGTTTTTCTAATAAGTTTTTTATATAAAATTCTTTAATAGACTTTTTAATAAGTTTTTTTAAATCCTTTAAAACTATTTTATAATTACTAGAAATTGATAACAAAAAAGACTCTTTTACTACTACTAACTAGTAGTTAGATAATAACTCCTTCTTCTTCTCTTCTCTCTTAGGTCTAGCGCTCAATTCATATATATAAGTCTCTCTCTCTGATATCTATAGTATTCTTTACTTATAGATTCTATGAAATACTACTATTTGACTCAATATACACTACTTTGATCACAAAATTTACATTATATTTTACTAGAAATTTACTAATTTCAACTTGAAACGATATAATAACTACAAATTTTAATCGAGGTTTGAATATATTACTAGTACTTTATATAAATTCTTTTCACGTTAAAATGATATTATCAATTAGTATTCCTATTGAATATAATCAATGCCTACTTAATTGATAACTAGTAGTCTGTTGGCGCTACTTCAAACTTCAAGCGATTTACCGTTTCGCAAATGTTATAATAGATAGCCGCCTACAACTACACAAGATGAATATCCCTTATACTACACTTGCATTTGTTTGATGTTAATTTTGCTACAACAATTACCCGCCTTTGGGGGGCCACTTAAATTTGAATGGAAACCAGCCTTCTCGTGCTGTGCCGCTCGTCCAGGCTTTCCGCCCCGTTAAGTCTTTATCAAATTGGACTTTTCCACATCGAGTCTTTCGAGCATCTCTCTTCAATTACTTGGTCACCACAATAGAACCTTCAGAACGAGGAAATAAACCTTCTTTTCTACACAATGATTTTCGTTTACTCAATACTCTTTCTAATATCGTTTCTTCTCTACAACGTGTACTCGCTGTATTTGAATTACAAAGATGCATCGGCATTGGGCTTGCCCCGCGTAATCAGCCCTATCACTCCTGATAACCCTTTGTGGATTGCACTCCAAACGATATTCAAGACTGTTGTACGGCAATTCCCCTTCGGTGCAGTTTCATTCACGAGACACACCCGTCTGGGATGGGAATTCCACGATAAGTTCCATACTCACGTACGTCTTGGAGACGCTTGGGTTCTGGTAACGCCCACAAGAAACTGGATTTTTGTAGCAAACGCTGCCACTGTTACTGATATCTTTTCTCGTGGTCGGGACTTTGTACGCCCTATATGGATGCTGGGTAATTCTCCCATAATTTGTTGCTGAGAATGGGCTAATATGAAGTAGAAGCCCTCAATGTCTTTGGACCAAATATCTCGACTGTAAGATATCTTCAACTCAACATCACTGCCACGAGCTCACAAGTTTTAGGCAGAAGGACACGATTGGCAGAGACGAAGAAAACTCACTGCTACTCCATTCAATGAACAAAAAAGCCCTCAGGTGTGGGACGAATCTTTTCGCCAAGCGGAGGATATGTTGCAGTCATGGTGTTCTCAAAGTAGGGATGGGACAAATGCAACGCCGGACGATACTAGAACTTTAGCTTTACACGTGCTTGCATATGTTGCTTTTCAAAAGTCATACCCATTCGGTAGCATTTCTCACCACACAATTCAGGACCAAGACTCTCTGACTTATCGGGATTCTATCTCGATCATCCTGGAGAATGCCCTGCTCATAATGGTTCTTCCCGAGAAGCTGTTTAAATCTGCCATTCTTGCCACGCAGCTCTCAGCAAGTTGGGTGGGCAATCAGTTCGTTCCGCAACTATATGGCTTCCAAGTGGCAGCGGAGAGGAGATTAATACAGAATGGCGAGTCTGGTAATGGGAACCTGGTCAGTAACTTGGTCCGAGCCTCGAACGAAAGTCATTCTACTAGCCTAGATCCCGGCGAAGACAATAAGCTCAAGCCTTTAACAAACGCCGAAATTCTTGGTAACATCTTCGTGTTCAACTTTGCTGGACATGATACGACTGCTATATCGCTTTCCTACGCCATGCTACTTTTAGTGGCGAACCCACAGGTTCAGGATTGGGTTCGCGAAGAAATCAAGTATTATGTTGGGGGTCGAGATCCTAAAACACTAGCATATAGTGAGCTGTTTCCGAAGCTCAAGCGATCTCTTGCGGTTTTGGTAAGAATAATTTCTCGGGAAAAATATCTAGATGGTCAGCTAATTACTTGCCTCAGCTTGAAACACTACGTCTTTATAATCCTCTTCCCGGTATACCAAAATATACCGGCTCCAAATCTACCGACCTGGTAGTCAATGACCAGACCTATCACATTCCTGCCAACTATTTGGTGGTTCCTCATTTGCAAGCTTTGCATACACACCCCCATCATTGGGGTGGTGACTCCCTGACATGGCGCCCAGAAAGATGGATTGAAAATTCTGGCAATCTTGAGAAAGAAAGTCTATTTAATCCACCCAAGGGCACTTACTTTCCGTGGTCCGAAGGGATTAGGAACTGCCCCGGCAAGAGGTTTGCGCAAGTTGAATTTGTTGCCACCTTGACAGCACTTTTCAGAAGCCATACTGCCGAGCCAGTGCCCAACAAAGGCGAATCCCTCGACGCAGCTAGGAAGCGAACTTTGGACACTGTCAAAGATAGTAACGTGGAGTTACTTCTACAAATGGCAAATCCAAGAAGTGTTTCTATCCGATGGAGACAAAGGCCAGCTGGAAAGTAGTACCTTGGTATGAATAGATGTGCGAGGTCTGCAATTCGGACATCATGTTTTTGTATACCTTTCGTAAATAGGCAAGCAGGATTTTTAAGATCCTGAAAATTGCTTATAATCTATTAAAAGAGATTTTAAATATATCAATTAATAAAAATAGTAAACTTATAGAGATATATAATTATATAATATATAGAGTACATAAAAACTTAGTTTGCTTCTACGAATCCATAAATTCTTTTAATAGATTGTAGATTATAGAATCAATTAGTCAATCTGAGATTATTTCAATTATAAATTTCAAGTCGAAGAGTATATATATCACGATCACTCATCCATTAGCGAATGAAAATATCGGCTTACATAACAACACAACCTCTCAGACTGTTTCAAACAACCATCATTCCCATACACCACCCAGACTCTCAAACACCATTCGTGACAGCAACCACATGCGGATAGCAAAACAATGAATTTACACACTTTGAACCAATCTCCCTGCAAGTAACCTGCTCAGGAATACCATGATTTCATCAGATACACCTCGCTCCAGAATCGTGGCTGAATGTGTCTCTAGGGAACCATGCATCTAACAAACTAAATCTTCACCATTCATTGACTAAAGAGCTAGTTTCATATTGTTCTCCTACTCTTCCTTATGACCATCCCATCCTATCCCATCCCATCCCATATCTCTTCCACAAACACATGCCAAGAACATTCTCTTCCCTTCCCTCATCCCAATCAATTCTCGAAGGCCGGTCCTTCCTTTCCACTCCCTACCATGACATCCCGAACATTCTTTTATCTCCCACTCATCATCTCCCTCTACATCACCTCCATCTCTTCATATCCCTTTTTCCCCCTCAGCCTCAAAAGCAATCTTATCGAAACTCGCGATCTCTCCGCCGTAGCCAGTGAACTCGGCACTCTAGGAAGCGATCTCCAGAACTCCAGCACTTTGAAAACATTTCTCGGCGACAGAGGAAATGTGATTACGCAGAACGATGTGCTGGATAGTAATGGGAGTTGTGCTACGATGACTGTATTATTTGCGCGTGGAACAGGGGAAGTGGGTATGTTTATTTCACTTACCTACTGATTCATTAACCATCCTCTCTCTCTCTCTCGGAGTCAAATGAATACACGGGAAGTCAGGAAGCGAATCAACATGACTAACTCAACAACCAGGCAATGTGGGAATCCTAACCGGGCCTCCATTCTTCACCGCCCTCGCCGCATACATGAACCAAACAGGAAGCATGTCCATCCAAGGCGTCGATTATTCCGCGAGCGTGTCCGGGTTTCTCGCGGGCGGTGACCCCGCCGGTGCAAAAACTATGTATGTATTCCTCCTCCTCCTACTCCTCGAACCCATACTCATCATTAACACACCCCAGGGCCGATCTAATAACCAATACTCTAACCAGTTGTCCCAATACACATCTCACTGTATCCGGCTACTCTCAAGGAGCACAACTTGTTCATCTGGCCATGAGTTCGCTCCCCACGACCACCACATCACGCGTGAAATCCGTCGTGATGTTTGGAGATCCAAAGAATGGTACTGCGTTGGCGGGTATCGATTCGAGTAAAGTGATGACGATTTGTGATCCTAAAGATGATATTTGTAAAGGTGGAGATGTCATACTACCAGCCCATTTGGAATACAGTGCAAATGCTGGAACTGCTGCCATGTTTGCGTTGAGTGGGCTGGCGGATGTGGGCATCACGAGTGCGAGGAAAGTTAGCGGAGTTGATGGGATATCTTGAATATTTCAAGATTGTGGAATGGGAAGAATATGAGAGATAAAATATTGTCTATATGTGCTGTTGAAGTCTTGAGACTAACAAAGTTGAGTTTGTTTGTATGTAATAATCTATCACAAAATCTACATCTATGGATCGTACATGGAATACATAATTGTACAAAAGGTATCTACACGCTTCACCCCAAAATTTCTCGTTCTAGAGAATCTCCCGTTCTAACCATTGTTTTGATAGCATTCAGTGTCCTTGAACAATCATGCTCCAAATCATTTAGTAAAAGCCGATTAGCTCTTGATTCCGCCGCCATAGCTTGTATATTAAGAAATCCTTTCGTAAGGTACAAGAATGTGCGGTATTCTGGACGTAGAGACGTCAGTAGCTTTCCCTTCCTCCTGATTTCCAAAGGTAATCTGTTCTTCTCGCTTGTTAGAGCTCTC